CAGTCATCATTAGATTCTTAATTCCAGATATTTATTGAATTCAAATTCCACCATCTACCATGGTGGGATTTGAACCCAGTTCCCCAGAACATTATATGGGTCTCCAGATTAACAGTCCAGTGAATAACACCACTAGGCTATCGCCTCCCTTGTAAATGATATGACCTCAAGTGATTTGGGAGAGACAGAGCTTTAAAATAGTTTTAGTAAAATACTGAAGTCTATCTAAATCTAGTTCAAGCACAGTCAATACACTGACAAGAATACATTATAAACTATATCAGCAAATAAACAGAACTCTAGTAGGAAGGGTGATATCCAGAAGAGAAACAGATTTAGGAGAACTAGCAAAAGAATGAAAAATTATATGAAAAGACTTTTTACTGAGTTGGAATGTACTGACAGACTGATTCAGTGATAATTTTCAAAGCGGATTTGAATGCTTACTTCAAAAGGAGAAATTTCAAGGGCTACAGGGAAGAGGCAAGTGTGAGAGAATCCTAGGAATGCTTTTAAAAAGAATCAGCACAGGAATGATGGGAAGATGGCTTTCCTCCATGCTAAATGATTGTGCACCAGATTGTTTAACAACAGTTTCACAGTCTACTGGCACCAGGGCCTAGATACAACAATAAATGTCAGGATTACCTCTCACATGAGAAAGTATTGGAATCTTCTGTCTTCACTGATTACTGCATCACAGATTAGAATGCAAAGACTTCATTTCTATTCATAGTCTATGTTTCAGTTAATTCACTTCTGACGTTAGAGAACCAAAAATGGGTAGATAAAATACGCAGAACTTTTAGGTTTAAACAAACCATTTATCAAACGCACAAATAATGTAAGCAAGCCAGTATGAAACCCAAACAATAGGACACAAACGCAAAATACACAATTTAATGGTTGATGTGATAGACTTTTGACACAAATATCCATGCATGTTATAAAAGGATTATGAATAGACCCCGACTTACGTTATAGCAGCAGGGAGAGAAGGTAAAATGCCAGATGGAAGTGTTAAGAGTGACTGCACATGAGGAAAAACAGATGCAGATGAAGACCCGTGATTCAAGGAGGCAGCTTGCCCTAGAGATGCAGATTCAGTGCCCCGTTTTAATTCCTGTTCCGTGCTAACCCACAAATGTTTGTTTTTTTTTTAAAAAAGAAAACATATCCAATAGGCAGCATTAATCAGTGAAAAGAGAAACAGACAGATATTAGCTTCAGTATTGATTCATTAACTGGAGCGCTCTACGGCCAGCCACAAGTTTCTGCATTCAATCGCATACTGCTCTGGCAATAAAATTCAAGCAACAATGTTTTCTGCCTTTACAACAAACTCTTGATTTAGTAGCAATGTTTCTAATAACTGTATGACTGCTATTTGAATTTTCCCCACTTTGTGATATCCAAGTCAGTGTGAGGATCTCCAAAGTCAAAAATAAGTCTCAATGATGTGCTTTTAATAAAATAAGCTATGTTGCAACGTGAATATGAAGATTAAAAAGAAAAAATAAACAGTTTGAAGAATCAATAATTTTAAAAATTTCAGACAAAAATTGAACATTGAGCTATATGAGGAAGTATTTGAGCAGGTGATCACGTCTGGGCAAAGAAGCAGGTTTAAAGGATCATCTTAAAGCAGGACAAGAGAGGTATGGTTAGAGAGATTTAGGGCAGAATAATTCCCAATGATGAACCATTGAAATGGGATGCTTAAGATGCCAAAATTATAAGGGCACAGATACCTTAAGAAGCATAGAAAGCAAATACAAAAAGGTAGGGCTGAGGCATTGCTTAATCATGAGCCAGTGTAGGTCAGTTGCCAAATAGTGACTAGAATTTGGCATGACTTAATGGGCAGCAGAGTTTTGAATGGTCTCAAATTACAAAGGGTAGAACGTGAGAAACCAACCAGATATTTGCAGTAATAATGGCACAAAAAGGGGATTCAGCATCGGGCTTAAGCCACAGAGGTGGAAACAGGCAGTCTTAGTGATCTCACGGATATATGGTCAGCCGTTTATTGCAGGGTCAAGTGTGAGACCAAGGTTGCAAACAGTCTGGTTTTGCTTCAAAAAGTTGTCAAGGAGAAGGATGAAGTTTATCACTGGGGCTCCGAGTTGGAGAAGGGGCTGAGGACTTCTAATATTTAGCATGAGAAGAAAAACTTTGCAATGGAGAGTTCAAGAAGAGGTGGGGATTAAGATACAGAGTCATTAGCATACACAAAGGAAATAATTCTGTGTTTGGATGAAATTGCCAAGGGTCTGCATCTAACCGTGGGCAAGGACAGACCTTTGGATGATGCTAAAGGTAACAATGAAGGAGGGAAGAGAAGCCAATGCAAATGAATCTCCGGCTACTACTGGATAAAGAAGCACAGAAATTGATGCGAGTAGTTAACCCAGAAGGGACAGTGGAGAAACAACAGCAACAAAACAAACCACAACTTTCAAATACATTCACATTTAGCCCAATTTAAATCAACAATACTGCTGGCATCCTAATTACATATACCCAATAGATTATTGATCAGGATTCTTGACTAGACATCCCTGATTTAGTGAAGAGACAGCAAGAACTGCAGATGCTGGAGTCAGAGATAAAGTGTGGAGCTCCTGATATAGTGAACCAAGCTTTTCATATTACTAGTGTGCATGTTTCATACAACACTAGGTGACAGGGAACTCTTAGCTTTGTCATTTATATGGCGTTGACCATTAATTCTATGTCTTGACTTACTGCATTCCTGAAGCCAAAATAAATGCGTTTGTAACCTAAAATTAAGTCAATTGAATTTAATCTTTACAGAGTTTAGTTTTTAAATAAAAAGACTGTCGTCACGCTCAAACTCGGACCCAGTTGGTTATACTGTGTTTTTAAATGGACAAAATGCCATTCTACCATTTTGCAATCAAGTGCCCAATTACCTCATTGAGCAAAGAGCAGCAATGAAAAAGATATGGTCTGTTCTTCTGGCCTCTCTGCTATTCAAAAACATGAGGTAACAAGGTTGTTATTTGGTGCAGTGAGGGAAGAGATCTAAAAAAGAGTCATGACAGCAAGTTTAAGTTGGTTAAAGAAACACTGTTGTTGAGCCTGACTCTAGCCTTTAATCTGTGGAGTCAAAAATGCACTCCAAAGTGGCTTGCACTGCTGCCTCAGTGCCAGGGACCCAGGTTCGTTTCCACCCTCGAGTGACTGTCCGAGTTGAGTTTGCACATTCTCCCTGTATCTTCACAGGTTTCCTCCGATTTCTTTCCAGGCCAAAGATGTGCAGGTTAGGTGGATTAGCCATGGGAAATGCAGGGTTACAGGGATAGGGTAGCGGGGTGAGCCTGGGTGGGCTGCTGTTGAGGGTCTGTGTGGACTCGACGGGCCAAATAGCCTGCTTCCACACTGTAGGGATTCTATGATTTTATGATAATTTCACACAGTTCAGAGATCAGGTAGAGAATTTTCTAGTCTGTAAGAGTTATAAAGCCATACAGCATGAAAACAGACCCTTTGGTCCAACTCGTCCATGTCGACACAATTTTAGTTTGGAAAACTAGTCCCACTTGCCTGCGATTGGTCCATATCCCTCTAAACCTTTCCTATTCATGTACCTGTCCAGATCGCTCTTGAATGTTGTAACTGTACCTGCATCTATCACTTCCTCTAGCAAAAGATCTTTGCTATTCACTTTACCTATGCCCCTCATGAGTTTATAAACCTCTATAAAGGTCACCCCTCAACTTTCTACACTTCAGTGAACAAAGTCCAAGCCTACCCAGCCTCTCTTTATAACCCAAACCTCTAGTTCCAGCAATATCCTGGCAGATTTTTCCTGAATTCTCTCCAATTTAATAATACCCTTCCCATAACAGGGTGACCAGAATTGTACAACTTGAACACAACATCCCAACTCCTATACTCAATGGTCTGAGCAATGAAGGCAAGCATGTTAAATGTCTTCTTAACTATCCTTTCTATGTGAGATGCAACTTTCAAAGAATTATGTACCTTAAGGCCTAGGTCTCTATTTAACAACACTACTACTTAACTGTCCAAGTTCTGTCCTTTTTTTGCTATACCAAAATGCAATACCTCACATTTATCCAAATTAAATTACATCTGCCATTTCTCAGCCCATTGGCCCAACTGATCAAGATCCCTTTGTTATGGAGCTCACAGCTCACCATTAGATTTTACGCTGATTACAATGGCAAAATCACAGTATTATCGTCTACACTTCGGCAAATGCTAAACAAAAGTTTGCAGCTCTCTCACGTACCAAATGAAGGAATCACTCAAGTTTGTAAACTATGTCAGGCAAAGACTGCCACTGTACAGCTAAATTGATAAGTATATGGATCAATATTACAAAATTTATTCTTCAATATTTTAAAAATGAAGTTAATTCTCAAGGCGTAAGGACACTTCGCAAAGATGTTTTCTGCTACAATAATTCTGAATTACAGATAAGTTTGAGACTGAACAAGAGTCACCTCAAAATAGGGGATGTAATTTCCTGTTCTGATATCATAAATTAAAATACTTTCTTGGCAAAACAAATCTAGAGACTTGCTGCATACTAGAATTTGACGGTTAATGATAGATTGCATAGAATACTTATTTCGTGCACATTAAGTGAGTTACTGCCATCTATTATTCAAGTGCATTATAGACACGAAACTTCAAGTTTCATATTTAAATTTCTGTAAATATAATAAGAATGAATAGTATTTCTACTGTAGAGAGCAAAACCAAATAGAAAACCAAATTTAAAACATTTCAGAAAGCTGTTGAATAGGTTTCATTAAAGGGTCACCTTGATACAAATAAGCCTTAAAAACATAAGCCACACAAGATTCAGCTTGTTTTAAAGGCAGAAGCTTGTGTACAGTCTATAAAGCTGTTCTGTAAACATGTAATGAAATATGACCTATGAGCGTGGAATGACATGCTGCTCCTGTCTACAATAGGTGTTTCTCAACATTGAGCATACTTACCGAAAATCATCCAAATTCAGGCTACTTCTGCAACAACAAACACAACAAATTAAAGTTCAGACAGCTCAAGACAAGAAAATACAGGGAGAAATAATAAAAATACAATTAATGAGAAAACCATTTTTCCTATATTTTACATCATTTGTAAGACAATTAGTCTGGTTTATTTGATGAATATTGATTAACTTAAATATTAAAGATCACGAAGACCAAGTAAATCAATAAATATTTGGATTCACAAATTCAAAGTTTATGTAGATTGTATCATAAGGGTCTCTTTCAGCCCACATTTCAAGCAAATTACAACACAAGTAATACTAAATCTAAAAAGCTGAACATATGTGCCGAGGAATCTGTATTACACTAATTTTATGGTCTCAAAAACCAGATAATCAATCTATGTAGTCTCATATTCTACCCAGCCACTCCACACATTCCTTATTTTGTTTCAGATTATGTCTGCATAAAAATGGTCTATGTTTCTAGTGAGGGCCAAAGACTTCCACAGCAAGCAATTAACAGGCAAGATCTGTGCTTTGTGAACACTCAATGAGGGAACCAGATCATAGATTCCGAAGAACTGCTGCCCAGGACATGCTACAAAGAACTTGGCTGAAATGGTTCGGAAGCTTTTTTCAAGCCTGTTCGGTAAGGCTACTGGGAATCGTTAACAACTGTGGAGGTCTGGAGTTATTGTGTCGAGCTAAATCCACAGAAGTCAAGTGTTGACATGAGGAGCTCAGTGACACTACATGCGGGCTGACACAGGGCTTTCTTAAGGATAGACCTACTATGGGCATTAAATTTAGCCACCTTTCGTATAGGCACTACTTCAATAGGATGATCAAAAAAATTACAGCCCATTGTACTTGCACTGAAGTAGAGTCTGTCAAACATCTGCAAACTGGGGCTAGTTTGAAAAGCATGAGTAATTACTGGAGATTATAGTTTTGCTAAAAAAACAAATCTGAAAAGTGCATAGAAAATATACCACAAAGACATTTTCTCAACTATTTGATAAATATAAATAATTACCCACTTAGCACTTTAAAAACAAAGCAACTAGGGTGTGCAATGAGATCTTGCCAAGCACATGTAACATTTGGGTAGATTACAAAGAGCTACAGTGAGATCCTAAAAGTGCCAACCTTGTTGGTATACAAGATATGAATTACTAACACACTATAACTGTACTTTTACACTGGAAATGGATCCAGAGTACAACAGACAAGAACAGCAACATATACACAAAAAAGTGTACTAGGCAGACTGTGGAGCAATTTTATTTTGTTGATCCAGAATCACAATTAAATTAATCCCTAGACTTGAACACCAAATTTCTTTTACATAGGAGAAATTACACTTATTTTGCAGTTACATGCATGGGGTGGCAAATTAAAATCTCAGTAACAAGTTACAGTAAGAACAGAAATAACTTTTTGAACAAAAACCTCAAAGACAACAGAAAACACCTCAGTAACAAAATGAAGACAATCAAATACTAGACTATTAAAAACTGGGACTTTGGTGGGAGTTATGCTTACCACTAACTCCTGCAGACTCACCTATTGGATTTGGAGTTGCGCGTTGTTGACTCTGCTCCTTTCAACAAATATCTGAAATACTGTACGGAAGAAAACTGGCTAAACATCATTTGCAATCCAGATCAATTTGTAAGTGATTCACATCTAAAATTACAGTTGCTCTAGTAATTGTTTCACTATTAGCACATAGGTCCCTTCGTATGAGTACAGTTTTTTTTAAAAAAAATTGAATGCAATGCAAATTCTACAAGTTCAGCACAAGGACTGATGAAGCTACAGTAAAAGTTCAATCATTCTAAACAGCATCAAGAATCTATCTACATGCACACTTATTCGATGTTGTCTATATTCTTGCTGTATCGGGGACATACAGTTTAAAATTAACATATCAGGTGAAATTTCGACAAATTAATTGCCCACTGTAGAATAATCAAATTCAATCAGTAACTGCAAGGGTCAAGGGCAATCAACTCCAGATTTTATACATATCTCTTACAAGCCACTGATGAAACACTACCCTCTAAAATATTGGCCAAGCAACCTATCACTGTCACTGCTAACATCCCATGTTAGTTGCTGTGGATATGTAATAGCCATCAGCCAACTCCCCTTATTTTCCTCGCTAAGTACATCGGAGAGATAGAAAATAAAGACCAGTTTGCTTGTACTACCCTCTCTCTAAAAATGTTTTGCTATCAATAGTGCAATATATTGACACAAAAAGCCCCATTGTAAAGGAGGGATATACGCAGGCTTGGCCATAAGGGACCTCATCCTAACATCAGATAAGCTGCAATAGGTTGATACAGAATGTATGACCTGAAAGGATAGTGGGAGCAGATTCAACAGTAATTTTTGAAAGGAGATCGCACATACGGGGAAAATTTATAGGATTATAGGGAAATAAAAGTTGGGAGTGAGACTAAAAATGTTTAGCAGTTTTCAAACAACCAACATAGGCATGTTGGTGACGGACCTCCTCATGTGCTGTATGATCTAAGGAATACCAACATGCTTAGTACTTATACACACAAAGCACCTTCAGTAAACATCAAATAAACCCATCACTGGGCTGCATTATAGAGTAAGCACGAGCAACTGTAACTTCGTCCGAAGTAAACACCACACACTCCCAAAAAAACCAGACATCGGCTTTGGCCGCCCTCGAGCCTATTTCCTCACTTAAGATCACAGCTGATCTGATTATAACTTCAAACATACGTGCTCATGTCCTGATAACGCTTCTGCCATGGCTTGCCAAATAACTATCCACCTCCATCTTAAAATTATGGAAAGAATCTGCTTTCACCATCATGCCAGGGAAGAGGGTTCCAAAGACTTATGACCCAAAGAGAAAACAATTCATTTCATTTCATTTGTTTTACATTATTATTTTTATTTTGTTTGAAACCGAGACCCCTAATTCTAGATTCCCCCATAAGAGGAAACATTTTCCCACAAATATCCTGTCAAGACCCTGGAGGATCTTGCATTTCAACAAGTTGCTTCTTACACTTGTAAAGTCCAGAGTATTCAAGTCCAGACTGTTCAACTTTCCTCATAAAACCACCTGCCCAATCCAGGTGTTAGTCTGGTAAACATTCTGAATTGCTTCCAATGCATTTACATCCTTTAAGTAATGTGACCAATACTGTACATGGTATTCCAGCTGTGGTTTCACCAGTACCCTACATAACTACCTTATTTTTGCATTAAATTTTCCCTACAATTCATAGTAACTTTCTAATTGGCTAGGATCAGTTACTGCAGATGGTGAAATTTGTCCTGAAAACAAAAAATGCTAGAGATCGCAGCCAGTTAGGCAGCATCCATCTGATGAAGAGTCACCTAGATTCAAAATGTGAGCTTGCTTTCTCTCCATGGATACTGCCTGACGGGCCCATCAGCCAAAGTATTTTCCGAGGATTAAGGGATTGAGAAGGAACCCACCTTTCATTATTCTATCTTGAACATCCATCTGTACAACTAAGAGCACTGATAAGATGATGTCATAAAAAGGTAACAGAGTAGGAAAACGTAAGGCAGTAGATGCAATTTAATCAGATTTACAAAAGGTTTTTGATAATGTAAAGTTAGGAGCCAAGTGACAGAGCTGGGCAAAAAAAAGCCTGAGAAGTGGGGCCATTGGGGGTGGGGGGGAAAGAGAAGCAAACGGTTTGCCAAGAGGCATGACAGGTCATTTGAAAGGGAAACCTTGAAAGGAGAGATAAGCGTGTGGCCATAACAAGGAGAAGGGTGGAGCTTTACACGGTTACAAAAAAAGAGGCCCTGTCAACAACAAAAGCCAACTGGGAGCCAGAAAACCTCAGTCACAAGGAATGAATCCATTACAAATTGTTTACAAAATGTCAGTTATTGAAAAAAACCTTTTCCGGCTAACATATGGATGCTGCCGAGTGCTAATTTAAATGTTGCGGTATCTAGGAAATTTTAAAACTCTCCTGCACGACATGGCCTTAAGTTTAATGAGATTTGGTAATTATTCACATAATAAGTTCTTTCAATTCTGCTCTGAGCCCAAATACCCAATATGTCAACACAAACACGGAAGATAACATTACTAGTGACTACATCCCATCTCATTCAGGAATTAGTGAGAATGAAAACATACACTCCAAAAACAAAAATTTGGCTCCCGAATTCAAAAAGAAGCCCTTGAAAACCTTAAGAACTGTCAACAAACAACATCTTTTGACACCCATATACTATTCAGAATTCACACAGGAAATACTTACTTCAAGTCTCAATGACAGGGTTAAAAGAATGCAAAGCAAATAGAGAAGTAACAGATTCCATACCTCATCGCTGTGACAAAACATAGGTGTAAATACAGTTTCAAGCAGATTCATGACGTGTTCATATGCCTCGAACAAACAGCGCATGGTCTGAAGTTTCACTACATTCCTATAAGATCCTTCCGCAACTGCAAGGGTTAAAATACGACCAATAACTTCAATTGTCCAACTGGGCTACAGCTAGCTTCACAATTATAACTTGCATGCAACACAAACTGTGGAGAAATAATTACCAATGGCAAGATTCTGTGCAGCTCAAGTGCTGAAACAGTGCATCATCAAAGAATAATTATGGGTGACTTTAATCTTCATATTGAATGAAGCAATAAAATTGGAAAGGATATCTACAACAACAAATTCATAGAATACATTAGGGACAGTTTCCTAGAACAATGTGTCATGGAACCAACCAGATAATAATTGTTCTATTCTTTTTACACACTCCTATTATTTGTTGATTTATAGCATTTCCTACAGTATGACTACTGTTTGGGGATCTATATTCTACTCTTGCCAAAATCTTCGCTCCCTTGCTGCTATTTACATCCACCCAAATGGACTCTACATCATCTGAGCCTAGATCATTTCTCACAACTGTCCTGGATCTGGTAATAGTTAGAGGCAGGTTTAACAAATGACCTCTGAGTTAAAAAAAAAATCCCCCAAGAAGCAATGACGTTAGAATTTAACATTCAGTTTGAGTGAGAGAATCTTGGATTGGAAACCACTGCTTTTAACAAAGAATCATCAAATCATAGAGGGGCATTACAATGAAATGAGGACTGGACTGGGCAGGAAAGGCAGTTAAGCGAGCAGTGGCAGACATTTAAGCAGGTAATTTATGACTTTCAGCAAAAATATATCCCAGTAAAGAGAAAAGATTGTAGTCTAAGAAAGGGATAAAGCAACCAGAGCTAACTACGGAAGTTAAGGAGAGTATTAAGTTGAAAGTAGCAGCATGTACAGGATGCAAAAGTCAGTGATAGCCCCAAAGACTGGGATAAATTCAGAATCCAACAAATGAGGCCTAAAAGGACACTAAGAGAAAAAATAGACTGCGAGAGCAAACCAATGATGAATATAAAAATTGACCAGGAGAATTTCTTTAAACATATAATAAGAAACAGAGAAGTCAAAGTGAATATTGGCCCCTTAGAGAAGTTAGACAGATATTTTGCACTAGTCTTATGATGGTAGATACTTCGAACATCCCACTAATGCTAAAGAATACAGGAGAGGAATTAAGTACCATCAACATCACTTCAGACAAACTAATGGGGCTAAAGGCAGATAAGTCTCCTGGCCCTTATTTGAGGAATTCTCAACCAGAGCTGATACAGGAAAACGAGTAAATGTTGTGTATATTCGGACTCCCAGAAGGCAATCAACAAAGTGCCTCACAAAAAGGTGTCAAGAGTCATACAGCACAGAAACAAACCCTTCAGACCAACAAGTCCATGCCAAACATAATCCCAAACTAAAGTAGTCCCACCTGCCTGCTTTTGGCCCACATCCTTCCAAAACCTTCCTATTCATGTACTTATCTGTTAAGTGTAGTAACCGCATCCACATCCATCACTTCCTCAAGAAGTTCTTTCCACACACGAACCACTGTGTAAAAATTTTGCCCCTCATGTCTTTAAATTTCTCTCTTCTCACCTTTAACGTATGCCCCAGTCTTGAAATCCTCCACCCTAGGGAAAAGATATCTACCATTAACTCTATCTATACTCCTTATTTTATAAATCTCCATACGGTCACCTTTCAACCTCATAAGCTCCAGTGAAAAAGTCCCAGCCTATCCAGCTTTCCTTTATAACTCAAACGTTCTTTATCTAGCAACATCCTGGTGAATCTCTTCTGAACTCTCTCTAGCTTAATAATATCCTTCCTATAATAGGGTGACCAGAATGGACACAATACCCCAGAAAAAGCCTTACCAATGCCTTGTGCAACCTCAACATGATTTTCCAACTCCTATACTCAGAGGACTGAGCAACGAAGGCAAGCGTGCTAAATGTTGTTATAACCACCCTGTCCACATGCGATGCAAACATCAAAGAATTATGTACCTGAATCTCTAGGTCCTTCTGTCCGACAACACTACCCAAGGCTCTTAACTGTTTAAGTCCTGCAGCTGTTTGTTGTACCGAAATTCACTAACTTGCATTTATCCAAATTGAATTCCATCTGACATTTTCCAGCCCATTGACCCATCTGCTCAAGAACCCTTTGTGGTCTCAGAAGACTTTCTCCACTGTCCGCTACGCACCAATTTTGGTGTCGTCCAAAAACTTACTAACCATGCCTTCAATATTCTCATCCAAATCATTTATAAGGTGACAAACAAAAGCCATGACAGCCCACAGTTTTGATGGTAGAGTAATGATGTGGATAGAGGTTTAGCTAATGGGCAGAAAACAGTGCATAGGGATAAGGGGCTCTATTTCAGGTTGGCAACCTGTAACCAGTGGAGCTCAAGAGGGATCTGTGCTGGGAACACAACTGTTTACAATAATGTATCAACAACTTAGTGGAAGAAGTAAATGTGCTGTAGCCAAACTTGCAGACATCACAAAAATAGGTGGTGGAAAGGCAAACTATAACAAATAGTTTACATGGGGATATTGATAGGTTAAGTAAGTATACAAAAAGCTGGCAAATGGAGTATGATGTGGCCCAGGTTATCACCCTCAATCAAGGATCTGTCAATAAGATCCAACTGGTTCCAAATCACTATATCCCACACTCCCCCCCACAACCCAAGTCCAGGGATGCAAGTCTGGTCTTTCTGTTAGCTTCTCCTGGGACGTTTTCGTCCCAGATCCAGTTCCTCTCACCCAGGCTCTGTCAGTGGTGTGTACCAGACTGTAGTCCGTCTCATGTCAGAGCATCTCGGGAGAATTTCCTCTTCTTCTAGTGGTAACAGTATTGAGGCTGCATCCATCTTGGACTCCGAGGTTTCTTCAACATGGAGAACTCGTATTTCTGACAGGCTGTTCTGAGGGGCCAGATATGTTTTGCTCCTGCCTGTTTGCGAGATAGCAGCTTTCAGGTGCTATCAGGACCACCTCGCCTATCCAAACTTTGTATGTTATGGGATGTGACCTCACATCAACCTCGCCTCATATCCATGCAGTGCCACATCCATGGTTCTGACACCAAACTTCATCCCCCGAAATAAACTGTGCTTCTTGCTTGGATGAAAAGTGGTAGCATTGGTGTTCCTGCTGCCGTTTCAACTTCTCCTCAACCCAGGTCCAGGAATATTAGGTTTAACCTGGTGTGGAGTCTTCTCCCCATCAGTAACTCTGCTGGAACTATCCCTGTAGTTGCATGAGGGGCAGTCCTAAAATCAAACTGGAACTAGGACTGTTTGTTATCAAGTGAAGCTGTAGGCTGTTTCTTTATGCCTGCCTTCAATGTTTGGTGCGTTCTTTCTGCCAGGCCATTGCACGATGGATGGTATGGGGTTGTCCGAATATGCTGAATGCCATTCAACTTTAGGAAATACTTGAATGGTCTGCTGCTAAAAGAGGGGGTGCAGCGGGTAATGAGGCTGGCGAATGGAATGTTGGCACTTATTTTAGAGGGGCTGGAGTAAGATTAGGGAAATCTTGCTGCATCTGTACAAGGTACTGGTGAGACCACATCTGAAGTACTGTGAGCAGTCTCGTCCATGAAGAATACCTCCAGGAGTCCATGTATCGTAAACAATGCTTGCAAATTTTCAATCATCCGTAAATTTGCCAAATGAACTCTATGCACGTCCAACCACATTGAATGGGCATCCACAATGACCAAGAACATTAAGCCTATGAAAAGGCCTGCATAGTTACAATGTAACTGAATCCAGGGTATACGCAGCCACTGCTACGAACGTGGAGGTGCTGCCAGAAGAAATATTTGTCCTCATTGGCACTGCCCCACCAACGCAGCTATGGTGGCATCCAATCCTGGCCACTAGACATAATTTGTTGCCAACATCTTTAGTTTGGAAACCCCTGGATGACTCTGGAGGAGTTCAGCCAGTATCTGGCACCAACCTTTTCTCAGGTCAATCAACCTTCCCATCCTCTATGGTGATCTGGTCTCACTGGATCCAGAAAGGCTTCAGTCCTGGTTATGATGGCTCTTTTGTTTTCCTCATTACCACCAGCTGTTTAAGTTTTTCCTGGATGGAATCTTTTTGAGTCCACAGTCAGTGGTGACTAGAAGGGTGTTCATAAAATTTAAAAGCAGAACAGACTCTTCTACGGCAGGCACTACCATTGGAGTATCTGCCAGTGGGAAATGGCTAAAGGCATCCACATCAGCCACTTGGCCTCCTGGACAGTGTTCCAACTTGTACTTGTATGCACTGAGAATAAGGACTCAATGCTGAATTGAGCCAGAAGCAATGGGAGGTGCCACTTTGTCGTCTTTAAGTAAACCTAACAGGGCTACTATGACAAATTTACATCCGTAAAAGGTATTGGTGGAACTTTCTCACATGAAATATGATCGCCAAACTTCCTTTCTTTGTCTGGGTGTATTTTTTTCAGCATCCGCCAAACTCTGGGAAGCGTACACTATCAGCTGTTTCTCTCCATTGGGCCACTGGTGAGCAAACACTACCTCAAGACCATACAGGGAAAAATCACATGTCAGCACCGTCTCTTTTTTCAGATTATAATGGGCTGACACCTTAGATGGCAATAGCTTCTTTTGCACTTTCCTGAAGGGTACTTCTTGGCTGTGCAATCATTTCCAAGGCTGACCCTTTTTCAATAGGTGTAGGGGTGCCAAGATGCAAGACAGGATATGTATGAACTTTGCATAATAATGCACTAACCTAAGAAAAAGGCCTAACCTCTGGTACAGTCGTGGGAGCCAGTGCACCTTTGATCACCCTCATTTTAAGTTCCAATGGGTGTAACCCAGTTTTGTTGATTCTGTAAACCAAGTAGGTCACTTGGAGTGCCTGGAATGCACAATCTTCTCCAAGGTGTATGCCCACCTGAGAGAAGCATTTACGCTATGTCCAAGTTCTCCAAGTGCTCTTTATTGGTCTTTCTGATTATTAGCACCAGACAAATGGCGACCTGGGGAAGCCCTTGTAAAACGCTCCCTATCATCTGCTGGAAAAGGGTGTGGGCTGATGATACCCCAAATGGCAGTCTTGTATATTGGTATAAACCCTTACAGGTATTAATTGTGGCGTACATCTGGGACTCCACATCCAGTCATAATTGCAGTTAGGCGTAGTTCATGTCTACCTTCACAAAGGACAGACCCCCAACATTTCTGCGTACAGAGTCCTCTATGCAAGTAATTGGGTATTTATCTAGCTGCGAGAATTGGTTTGCCATTTGCATAGCATTCCCACAAAGGCCAACTGAGCTATCAGGCTTCACAATTGATACAACCAGTGCTGTCCATTCTGCAAACTGCACTGCTTTGGTAATTCCTTCACTTTCCAGCTTTCTACCCCTATTTTTGCCCGCAAGGCAAATGGCACTGGGCGGGCCTTGCAAAATCATGGAATTGCTTCCTAGTCCACGTATAAAGTGGCCTTGACTTCTTTGATAGTCCCTATCTCTTCTTGAAAAATTCCTGGTATTTCATTAGGACTTCAGTGAGGCAGCCATTTTCTAATCAAAACATTTTGAGCCAATGAAGATGAATCTTTCTCAACCAATTCTGCCCCAGTAGGCTTGGGCCTGAGCCTTTGTAGCACAAATCAGTGGTAATTGCACCAACTGCTTCTCTCAGTTCAGGGGACCAGAACAAAAGTGACACCCTTAAAGTCTGTAATGGTTCCCCCAGTGTACATTCTCAGTCTGGCCAAGGTCTTGCGCAAACTTAAGGGTTGGAGTCCAGGGCAAGTGTTGTTAAAGACAGGTTCTGCAACCACTGATACAGCCGCGCTGGTATCGGCCTCCATGTGAACTGGGTGACCACTTAACCAGACATTAATTTTAATTGATCCTGATTTGGATGTTGCTAATCAATTTAACTGCTCCACTCCATAGGTAGGTGGGCCTTTTAGGGTGGTGCACTCTCCTGGATACTGGCCTACGTGTTTTCTTATTCAAGTCAGGGCTTGTAGGACTCCTTTACTGTCGAGACCGCATAGCGTCAGCAACGACAATGGCCTGTGGCCCAGATCCTGAACAGCTTTTTAGCCATTTGGCTTAGGCTTGGCTTTATTGTGGAGTTTTGCTGCGAGCTGGCCTAGGGGTCCCTCTGCTCAGGATATGCCCTGCATGAGGGTCTGCAATTGCCTACACTCAAGTGGTGTTTCCTAAGCACAGTCAGACAGGTGGGAGTGTCCACTTCCAGTGGGATGCCCTGTAGCTCCCATGCTCCACTTGCCACATTTTCTAATGACAAAACCAGTTGTAGTGCCTGTTTGAAGTCCAGTTGGTCTTAGCTAGTAAGCGCTTTTGCATGGTGACATCATTAATCCCACATACTAAACGGTGTCTCAGCATCACATCCAGGGTTAACCCAAAATCATACGTCTCTGCCAGTCAACTTAACCTCGTCAAAAATCCTGATACGCGTTCCGCTGGTGGACTTTTCAGGGTGTGCACTCTCCTGGATAACCGCCTATGTGTTTCCTTACTCAAGTCAGGGCTTGTAGGACTTGCCCCGTGGTCGAATAAAACCTAGAACGTCTCAGAATTTTAAGTCATCCTAATCTAAATTAAAAATTGAATGAGACATTAGATTATGGACAAAAGGGATGAATATCAGGAACAGCTTATCAAGTCTAGAGTGATCAACATACCCTCAAAAAACTCTTGGTATGGCAAGGAGATAGCAAACATTGAATCATTTAAGCTCCCGCAATGATGTGGTGAGAGGGCACACGTGTATGGTACAGGGACATGCGTGGTGTAGGAATGCGTGTGGGGCGAGCGAGTGGGGTGCATGCATGACCCCTACCCATAAGTTTGTGATCACCATAATATTAAACTTTGTGCTAAGCTGTACATCCAACTAAGAACTTGGACCATCTGGCTCAGTAAAGCAGGTACTAAGCACTACCACACTGAATTAGAATCAGAACGTAAATCTATACATCTTTAGACAATATTTGTGCAACATTGAGCCTTTCTTAAGTTAAGTTTCGGTGAAAACTACTTTGGTTTTACTACATAGCAATTCCATTTGTGCTGTGTTTCGTAACAGTCAGTATTTGTACATCAGGATAGTAAATAAAAAACAAAATTCCAATTCTAAATGAAGTGCATTGATATTATGAATATGAACCTAAAAGGCAAAAAAAATTTCCTGCAAATTGGCAGCACGATTGAAAGTCGGTAGGAAGAATAAAACCGCAAGTTGAATATTCATTTACGAATTTCTGAGATCAAAGACCGACGAGTATTCTAAGCGTCTTCAAGTTAAAAGCAATTTACCTCTTTACCAGAAAGATTGAGATCCTGCCTAAGTGACGAGAAACAACATTATCACATACAGATGAAGAAAATATTCTCAACCTGAAGTGTTATCTGACTTTCCATTTAATTTCCTGGTCATAATAACCAAAGGAATAAAAACTTACCTTGTTGTATCTCTTCCACAATAAATGGATCAAATTTGATTTTATCAATACTTTCATCAAGACAATATGTCACATAAATTTTCTTCACTTCCTCGTGAAGTGTTTGCATCTCGTCATCCGTCAACTCTGGACATAAGATCCGATCGTTGAATTCCTCTGTTGACAAAAAGTTTTGAAATTATTAAGCAGAAATTGGTGATTCCTTCAAAATTTGCATAGTACAGGAAGCTGAATGTGTATGTGATTTTCAGTTGGACTTTACTTGTCAAAACCAAAAAAGACCCTTTTTACCATTCCAGCAAGTTTCATGTATGAATAACCACATATCCACAGCGTAAGTAGAAAAGGAGACATAAACAATGATTGCATGTCTTTTCTCCTGTGATTCTAAAGGAAAGTGGCACCACAGGTATGAAATTTGAAAATCAATCTACAAACTTGGATGCAGGTTTTACGTTATATTACACTACACTTCTGTCAGTATTAGTCAAAATATTTACACAACCTAATATTTTAAACAATTCAAATTGTTACTCTATCCTGTTTTTCTCCTCGTCATTACTCAAGTACAAAACCAATGACGTTATGGACCTTCCTCACAAAAACAGATTTAATTCTATTGTAGGCCTTAATGACGCATACAACATAAGCATATAAATTTAAAATGTATTTCTATTACTGGTCTATTAAATAGATTAGATGTATAAAATCAGCAAAGAAGCAGATTCAACCATCACTGCATGTTGATTTCTGATGTATCATTAGTTAAAATCAGAGTTGAAATAATTGCAATGGATAAAGTCCTACTGATATTCAAGTTGTCTGTAGCTGTGTGGTAACAGGATCTAGGATGCATACAGGAGTGTGTACACAGACCAGTACAACCAACACAAGTTTTAGACTGATGGGCTTTTAAAAGGTAGTTACATAGCATGAACCTTTGTCAAATGCTTGCTCCTTACCGACAGTGAAACAGAATTGCAACACATGCACTGCACCCTCTTGCTTCAGAAAGTTCATGAACCAGAAGAGCAGATCTTGTTGCTCTCTTATCTCCTTTAACTCAAGTTTTAGGGCCTAGATTGGTCAGTTAGATAAAAAAGTAAGTGCTCAATACATTGTCAAGCAGTGTTCAAAGCATTTAAACTGAAGTTAATAGTAGCCATGCTCAACATAATTTTGAACGTTTTTAAAAATACATTATCACAACAAAAGTTTAATCCTCAGTTAATCAAGTAAATATATCTCAATGATTTATAAACCAAAATAAAACTCTAAAATACAAGCAGTTTATGAACATTATTTCAAATCGGAATAGAGGCATAACTCCGAGAACCAAAAACATTCATACGTCCTAAAAGTTATAAAAATTGTGTACATCATGTCCTTCAAATTTCACAACATATATGTTACCATGTATAGTATTTTCAAAGTCTACTTTAACCATTATTATATATTTATTCTAGGCAGCAGGTCTTGGCAGACAGGAAAGGCGATGAATTTGTGACAATAACATTTCCCATTATATAGAAAGATGTGAATACATGAGCTATAAACCTCAAGCAATTGACAAATTTATTCCAAAGCCTAATCTGGTGTTCCAATAATCTTCGTTTATAACTTTAACTTTGTTTTGTGCCACTGTTCTGATCAAGTCAGGCTACTCAAAATTCCCATCAAAAATTACCCCTTTGTCACTTCAGTATGGCTGAATTTGCTATCTATCATCTGTCAAAAGAGGTCAGTATCACCAAATTTTCCATTCTATCTATAATGCAATATATCAAACCATATACTGCATTCAAATATTATTGATTCTGCCTTTTCACAAAAAGCACCATCCACAGCTTTGGAAACAATTTTTTTGCTGTGACTATACATGCATTTGCTGAAAGAACATTTCTCAGGAGTTTGGCTCAGCTTCAGAACAGACAACAGCAATTTCATGGCTATTCAGGGGAGACTAAATCAGCCCTGAAGGATTGTAAAATTTGATATGTGGCTACAAATAATGCATTGTACAACTTAAATTTTCATCACACAGGTCAGATAGAAACATGGTGCCACTACTTGAGGAAAACCAGGGAACTACAGACCAGTGATCCTGACGTCAGTGGTGGGCAAGTTGTTGGAAGGGATCCTGAGGGACAGGATTTATATGTATTTGGAAAAGCAAGGACTGATTAGGGATACTCAACATGGCTTTGTGCATGGGGAATCATGTCTCACTAACTTAACTGAGTTTTCTGAAGTAACAAAGAGGATTGATGAAGGCCGAGCAGTGGATATCATCTATATGGACTTCAGTAAGGTGTTCAACAAGCTTCTGCATGGTAGACTGGTTAGCAAAGGTTAGATCACATGGAATACAGGGAGAACTAGCCATTTGGATACAGGACTGGCCCAAAGTTAGAAGACAGGGGTGGTGATAGAGGGTTGTTTCTCAGACTGGAGGCCTGTGACCAATGGTGTGACACAAGGATCAGTGCTGGGTCCACTGCTTTTTGTCATTTATATAAATGAATTGGATGTGAACAAAGGAGGTATTGTTACTAGGTTTGCAGATGACACCAACATTGGAGGTATGGTGGATAACCAAGGTGGTTATCTCAAGAGTACAATGGGACCTTGATCAAATAGGCCGGTGGGCCAAGGAATGGCAGATGGAGTTTAATTTAGATAAATGTTAGGTACTGCATTTTGGAAAGACTAATCAGGGCAGGACTTATACACTTAATGCTAAGGTCCTGGGGAGAGTTGCTGAACAAAGAGACCTTGGAGTGCAGGTTTAGATAGTTCATTTAAAGTACAGTCACAGATAGACAGGCTAGTGAACAAGGCGTTTGGTATGCTTGCCTTTATTGGTCAGTGCATTGAGTATAAGAGTTGGGGAGTTCATGTTGCAGCTGTACAGGACACTGGTTAGGCCACTTTTGGAATACTGTGCGCAGTTCTGGTCTTCCTGCTACAGGAAGGATGTCATGAAAGTTGAAAGGGTTCAGAAAAGATTTGCGAAGATGTTGCCAGGGTTAGAGGGTTTGAGCCATGGGGAGAGGCTGAATAGGCTGGGGCTATTTTCCCTGGCTTATTGGAGTCTGAGGGCTAACTTTATACAAGTCTATAAAATCATGACAGGCATAGATAGGGTGAATAGTCAAGGTCTTTTCCCCAGGGTAACAAATCCAAAATTAGACGGCATAGGTTTAAGGTGAGAGGGGAAGGACTTAAAGGGACCTAAAGGACAACTTTTTCAAACAGAGGGTGGCGCGTGTATGGAATGAGCTGTCAGAGGAAGTGGTGAACACTGGTACAATTACAACATTTAAAAAGGCATCTGGATGAGTACATGAATAGGAAGGTTTCAGAGGGATAGGGGCCAAATGCTGGCAAATGGGACTAGATCAATTTAGGATATCTGGTCAGCATGGATGACTCGGACCGAAGGGTCTGCTTCCATGCTGTACAACTCTACGGCTCTATGACTAGAAACATTATATCTCAAGGGGACTGAATATGGTGGATACCTGGAGATATTTTTTCCTGCGGTGGAGACTAAAACTATTAAAAAAAATTCACAAATCTCCCTTTAAGACAGAGAACATAGTACTTTGAGGGACTTTAAAGAGTGCTGAACCCTCTTCCTTGGAAAATAGTGCAGGCCGAATCTTTGAATCTATTCAAGACTCAGTTGGACTATTGATTGGCCAGACAGCCATGGGTTATGGCATACAGACGAGAAAAGTGAAGACGGGACCACAACCAAATCAGCCATCATCTTATCGAATGGGGAAGCAGTTAAGGGCTAAATGGCCTACTCCTAACTTGAAGTCCCATCTCCCTATGGCAGACAATCCCAAGATCATTATCCAGTTTGATCTAAGATGGATGATCTCCACATGGACTAGTTTCTGCAAAGAATGGAAAGAAAATCAGTCTGCATTCTTTCATCCAATTGATAATAATTCTTGACAGACAGGATCCACTTGAGGGGAGAATTCAGCCTTGTGTGGTTAAAAAGCTTGTAAATATTGGTGGGCTAAGAGATGAAGGTGCTGAATCACTGCTCAAGCAAGGGGGATGGGATGCCATCTAACTCAAAGTTCTTAGTCATTTCCTCTGATACAAAAGCTTCACTTAAAATACTAGTTGGACTTCAGCTTTTCAAATGACAGCTGCAAAAATGCAGAAGCCAAAAGAAAGAAAAGAACACACACTGCATTTGGAATATGCTGTAGGCAAAAAAAAAATCAAAGGAAAAAAGTTACTTTCCCACCGATTGGGCTTTATTTCTTGCATCAGCATATCTCTGAAGAAAGGGAACCAAGGGCGAAGGAGGCTCAGTCGCTGGTTCTGGCTAATAACAGAAGTACACATATTTAATTAATCAGAACCACCAAATATATTTAATTTTTACCTTCAACATACTAAACAGGTCACTCACTGCAGAATTTAAGCCTCCACCTGTCTTTCCTGATTTAACTTTGTTAGTAGAAAAAACTATTTTTCATTCTTTTATACATTCTCAACCTCACTTTAACCTCATTCATATGATTTCCTTCAATCACTCCTGTAGTAATAAGTTAGCTTGGCCAACTGCATCTGGAGGTCCTGCTAGACCAAGAGTTGTGTGTGTGGTTGCTGCCCATGAAGCATGCTCCAAGATATGGACAACCGATGGATATTTAGAGGAGCAAACAGCAACAAGCCAATGTCACCTCGTACCCATTCTGACTTTAACATCAGGAATTGTTGCCATCTAATTTCTATCCAGCTGACAATGTAGGAAACTACATATCAATGGGGAGAGATGATGTACAATGAGGATGTTAATGCATAGTAATGAATGCAAATTGGCTTCTTGCCAGTTATAGCAAGAATCTTATCTTGCCATTCAAAGCTTGGTTGGAAAATAAGTCATTTTGCTCTCAATGTCAAGTAGTCCCTCCCTGGGCATCTCACCCATTTTTACAATTTCCCCGTCATGGCCCATGTCAATCAGGGATGGGAAGATTCCACCCCACATTCTCACCCGTGCCTCAGGAAAGAAGTTTCTTCTGAATTCCCTAATGGGAATTTTATGCACCCAAGCATGCAATTGGGATTAAACTATTTAATTCATGCTCATCATTAAGACAATATAGTAATACCAGAATTAGCTTCAGACAGGTCTAGGAAAAGCCCAACTGTCAATCCAAAATACATCACAACTTGCACTTAGCTGACAGAAACAATCAGCTTCCCGAGTACAACAACATAGTAGGTATTCCACTTTCATTAGCTATTTCAGCAGATGCCCTGACAGTAGGATCAGCTATTTATACTGATAGTTGGGTTAATTCTGGATGAAAGTAGCTAGAATGCTCACCCTGGTTAAGACATAATTTTGAGTAGGGTTTTCCTCGTGAAATAAGTGCAAAGGCCTGTAATACTCACCGGACTATCATCTATGAAAATCAGCAACAAATGGTTCACCGTGTCCTAACAAAAGACAAAGGCATTTAAACATCCATAACACGGTACTTGGCAGATTACTACACTAGAATAAACTTAACCAGGGAATAGATTCTCAAAGCTTTAAATTTAACACTCACTGTCATATAGACATCATCTTTGAAAAATATTAAAGTACACAGCACAAGAGACCTTTAGTCTCAAGTCAGTGACATGAAGGATCTCCCAGAAACTGACTTCAGTTAAGGTGGAAATAGCAAATGTAGACAAAAGTGCCAATTTCAGTAGTGTAATATTAGATAAGAAAAAATGCACCCGTAAATAGAGATGTAAATATGAAGTTGTTTCTGCACAACAGTAAACTTAAACTGGTAACAAGAGTTCTGATAACCTGAAATATCAAACATTTCTGAAGAAGGGTCTCAACCAGAGGCGTCAGCTTTCCTGCTCCTCTGATGCTGCTTGGCCTGCTGTGTTCATCCAGCTCTACGCCTTGTTATCTCAGATTCTCCAGCATCGGCAGTTCCTACTACCTCTATATCAAACATTTCTTTCTGCATTCATTGATGCCTTGAACACTGCAGTACGCGGGGATCAGAGGTGATAGTGTGCTTTTGTGCCAGAAGCACATTGAAAATTAAGCAGATAAGAATGAAGAATAAGTAAGTGAATACCTGAGCTAACACAAGAAAACAGAACTGACCAAAGAGATCACAAAGGAAGTGGACAATAATTTTAAAAAGGGATCAGGGAATAACTGAGGAAACTGAGCTGTTAATATTAAGAGCACCATACAAGTTGGGAATTAGACAGAAAATGGATAGAGCTGCAGGTCAAAGATCGAGTGCCAAGGACTGAATAACATGAGTTGACAGATGGAGTATTAGAATTCTTCAACAAAGACAGTAATGTGTTGTTTGTACTGATTGTGAACCTCCAGAAAAGCAAAGGCAAAAGGGTTTGATATTTGAGTACACTGTTGCTTTTCAACTCTTTCCTCATAAGACAATACCTTCATCCCAAAAAACCACCCAGTGCACCTTCTTTGAACTGCTACCAACAGACGTTTATACTGACTTGGATAAGAGATCTAAACTACACACATTCTTCTCGCTTTTGTCAAACCTTGGGCAACTGTGATAATACTTTCCTATTTTTGCGATAAAGGTTGACCATCTATTTGTCTTCCTAATTACTTGCTGAATATGCATAGTAACATTTTACAATTCATGTACGAGAATATCTATAACTCTGACTGCCGAATTCTGTGGTCTTTTATTTAATGTTATGCTTTTTTTTTTGAAAACTTTTCCTATCAACGGTTGATAATCTCACATTTGTCCACAACATACTCCATCTGCTGATTTTTTGCCCAATCATTTTATCTATTTATATTCCTTTGCAGAGTGTCCTCCTCACAAGTCAAGTCACTAAAATAGTGTAAGACCACTACTGTGCATCAGCGCACCAACTTTGAAAGTGATCAATCCATTTTGACTGCCTTCTGTTAGTTAGCCAATTTTCAAGCCACACTAAACGTATTACGTTCAACATCATGAACTCTTGTGCAATAAGATTTTGTGATACATCATCTAAAGCCTTTTGGAAATTGAAATACAACACTTATTTGTTCCCGTCTATTCACCCTGGTTGAGACTTAGTCAAAAAGCTTTAAGTTACGATACAATTTCCCTTGCATGAAACTACGCTGACTTTACATTTCCAAATGTGCAATTACTTCCTCAATAATTGATTCCAATACTTTTCCAATAGGTGTTAGGCTATTTGACCTATAGTTATTCACTTTTTCTTTTTCGTCGGTCTCATTTTTAAATAGGGGTATCAACATAGAAAATTCTGATACTTCTCCAGAATCTAAGGATTTTGGAAAATGACAACCAAAGCATCCACTATCTCTGCAGCTACCTGTTTTAGGATCCTATCACACAAGCCATAAGTGTCAGGGCTTTAACAACATTAGTTTTTTTTTTAATACATTACTTCGAGAGACAGTGACGGTGCTTACTTCCCTCCTCACATTCATTAGTATTAATGGGATTTTCGTAGCAACTTTCACCGTAAAAACTGATGCAAAATAACGTTTTAACTCCTCTCATTTCCTTGTTCCCTATAACCATTTCCCCAGCTTTATTTTCCAAGGAGCCTATGTTCACTGACCTCTTTTTTTTAATACGTTTAGATAAACTTCTCTTCTCAGTTTTCGTATTCCTCACTGGTTTGCTCTCGTAGTTTATTTTCTCTATCTTTTTAGGCCTCATCTCAGTCTTTAGGGTTATCACTGACTTTTGCATCATTTATATGCTTTTCCTTTCAACTTAACATCTCCTGAACTTCATTGTTTAGCCATGGTTGGTTTACCCCTCGCTTAGATTAGAATCTTTCCTCCTTACTGGGATATATTTTTGCTGTAAGTCATGAATTACCTGTTTAAATATCTGGCACATCTTGCTTACTGTCTTTCTTGCTATCTATCAGCAAAGTCCAGTTTAGCTAACTCTATTATTTCATTGTAATTCACCTTATTTAAGTTAAACATGGTCACTTCCAACCCAAGTTTCTCACTCTCAAACTGAATATTAAATTCAATCATGTTATGATCACTGCTTCCAAGGTGATATTTTCTTGGAGGTCATTTATTAAACCTGTCTCATTAACTACTACCAGATTCAGGATAGCCTGTTGCCCAGTTGGCTCCATGACATATTGCTCTAGGAAGCGATCCCTAATGTAGTCTATAAATTCATTGTTGTAGCTACCCTTTCCAACTTGATTAACCCAATCCACATGAAGAGGAACAGTCCCCATAATGAATGCTCATTATTTTTATATGCTCCAATTATTTGTTATCAATGTGGGTAATGTTTGGAGTCAATTCTCTACTCTTGCCAATGTCTTCTTTCCCTTGCTGTTATTTACCTCTACCAAATGGACTCTACATCATCTGAACCTAGATGATCTCTCCTTGCTTCATCTTTTATTAACAATGTTACCCACCACCAGTATCTTTCATTCTGTATTTCCGAAAAGTCAAATATCCCTGAATGTTAAGTTGCCAGATTCAATCTCCTGGTAACCATGTCTCTTAAATGGAAACTGAAAGAACTGCGGATGCTGTAAATCAGGAACAAAAACAAAAGTTGCTGGAAAAGCCCAGCAGGTCTGGCAGCATCTGTGAAGGAAAAAAAGTTAACATTTCAGGTCCAAAACAGTTCTGAGGAAGGGTCACCGGACCAGAAATATTAGCTCTGTTTTTTTCCTTCACAGATGCTTTTCCAGCAACTTTGTTTTTGCCTCTGTAAATGGATATGATCTCTCAACCATTACCTTGGTTTGTGCTATCAGATCATCTACTTTATCATGAAAGTTTCATGTATTAAAATACAAAGCCTTTGTGTTGGTTTTACTGTCAAATTTCCCTACACTTTTATGGTTCCCTGGTGTAATGTGACAATCTGTCTCTACCTTTTAGTTTATGGAATTAATCATCTCCATCGTTATTCTGCAATCCTATCTTCTCCTTTATCTATGATTTTCTAATTTTCCATGTTACTGAATCACCCTCCCTCCACTATTTTAGAACATAGAACAGTACAGCCCAGTACAGGCCCTTTGGCCCACAATGTTGTGCCAACCTATTATCCTACTCTAAGATCAAACTACCCTGCATACCCTACATTTTACTATCATTTTACCCTATCCAAGAGTCGCTTAAATGTTCCTAATGTATCTGACTCCACTACCACCACCAGCAGCGCATTCCACGCACCCACCACTCTTAGTTTGAAGTCCTACAAAGGCCCTGGTTATGCATTTTGCCAAGACTCTGGCCCCATGATTCAAGTGGAGCCTGTACCATTGCAACAGCTACCTCCTTCCTAGGTATTGATGCTAATGTCCCGTGAATTCAAACCAGTTTCTCCCACACCAATATTTCAGCCATGTTCTTTAATGCAGTTGACCTTGTGCCAATGAGTTTGCACCTAAAGGTAGTAAGCTGGAGAGAACCACCTTTTTGGTTCCACTTTTGTAATCTAGGCCCTAACTGCTCTTATTCCTCAGAACCTTTTTTCTCCTCCTTTTGTGATGGCACTATGGATTTAAGAGGTGTATTTTGTCCTGGGTATTTCTTGGAGAAGTTTTAAGTCATGGGTTCCAAGCTATCTAATGAAAGATCATAAAGTAAGCATCTTGAGAGGCCTTGGGGCTGTTTTTTGAAGTTGGAACAATAGAAGCAGACTGAATCGGTGTGGTGAAGCTCCCACAGAACCAGGATTTTTAGTTTTAAGTTTTCAGTAGCAGCTGAAGTCTTAAAGCTGAATATGGAACCTGTTTTTCCCTCTCCCTGTTACAGATAAAAGTTGGGGTTCTCTCCCTACTTCTCCCTCACTCAGTTTTCTCGATGTTTTTCCTGGACTGGAAAATGGCCTGAGAAAATATCTATTTTCCTGAATTTGCCTTTGCCAAGGAGGTGTTTATGGAATGTTACTATATTGGAATAGTTACTGTTTAGTTGTTAAATAATTGATTAAATTTCATGGTGCCGAATGGACTGTTCCAGTTTAAAGTCACGCCACTGGAATGAAAAATGCGCTAGCTACATTTCAAAGGCTAATCAATAAAGTAATTTCGGGATTGTCCGATTGTGTGGTATTTATCGATAACTAGTGATTTTTAGTCACACATGGAAGGAACATTTGAAGCAACTTATCAGAATTGTTCAATTGACTTCAGGAGGTGGTGATAAACCTGGCTAAGAGTGAGTTTACAAAAGCCCAAATCGTGTTCCTGGGCCATGTCATTGGATATGTAAAAATGGCCCCATGGGGTGTGAAAAGAATGGTATGGGAAACTTCCCAATAACCTTCGACAAAAAGGAAAGTACCATGATTCCTGGGATTGAGTGTCTTTTTTTAAATCAGAAGCTCATACTGAATTTGAGCAGTATGGTTACTCCACTGACTAACATGTTGAAGTAGTACAGAAAATTTCAGTGGACACAGGAATGTCAGAAAGCATTTGACAGCCTGAAAGCAGTGTTAAACACTACCAAGGTGTTAGCCATACCTAATCACGCAATGTCATTCAAAGTGGCTATCCGTGTGCGCCATGTGGGTGTCAGTGCTGTACTCTTGCAAGATGATGATAAGATAGAAAGATCTATCCAGAAAAATCGAATAATCAACAAAACAAATATTCTATGTTGAGCAAATCTTGAGCTTGGTATTGGCGTTGCAACAATTCAACATTTATATTGCTAGTAACGTGTCGGAGATGATTGTATGTACTGATCATAATGCTTAAAGTATTTGAAAAAACTAAGGATAAAATTTCCAGACTGTTTAGTTGAAAATTATTGCAGCCATTCAATTTGAAAATTATATATGTGAGAGGATGAGAGAATCTAACTGCCAACGCGTTGTCACAACTTTGATGAAGGAACACAGAGGCAGAGGCATTCAGTGATGGTTTAAAAAAGACTGAAATGGACTGTAGTGCTAAATGTTTGCATGCTTATGGTCAAAGTATTGTATATATATTGTTGTGTACTAATTGCACCAAGACTAAAGACCTTTAAAAATGAAGCCATCTTTGTATATCGATGGTTCATTTCTTTTTGAGGTGGTATGACGACACTGTGGCTTTAAGAGGTGCATTTTGTCCTGGATTTTTTTTTTTGAAGAGAAATTTTAAGTCACAGGTACCAAGCTGTCTATTGAAAGCCCATGAAGTAAACAGCTTGAGGGGCCTTGGGCTTTTTCTTAAAAAAAAAAGTTGGAACAACAGAAGCAGCCTGATTGGGTGGGGTCAATCTCCCACTGAACCAGGATTTTTAGTTTTAAGTTTTCAGTAGCAGCTGCTGGGGTCTTGAAGCCAGATGTGGAACCTGTTTTTCCTCTTTGTTACAAAAGCTGGAGTTCTCTCCCTGCTACTCCCTCAGTTTTCTCAATGCTTTTCCTCCTGGACTGGAGAATTGCCTGTGAGACAATCTACTTTCATGAATTTGCCTTTGCTAAGGATGTGTTTATGGTATGTTACTATATTGGAACAGTGACTGTTCAGTAGCACAGCAGGTTCTGCTATAATGTGCATTCTGGCAACATGAATTTGCTACAATGCAACTGATAAAAAGGAGAGCGCTCGTTCTAAAACGTGAACTTATGTTGGCTATAACGCAATTCCATCGATTACGCATTTTGCTGTCAGAAGCCCTTCGTTAATGATACCTACAGTGTATTTGTACAATGTTGTGATTCTGACAGTCCTTGAGAAATTGCCCTATTAGCCTTCATTAAAACTGAAAATTGCAGACCTGCTGGCTTCTTAATCAGGAAAAGTAGGGTGTATAGGAGAGTGAAAAACAATATATCTAACTTACCTTGAAAGGAAAAACAGTGAGGCACAGGACCTGGGTACAACATGAGGTTCCAGCAGCCTATTTAAGTAATTAGCCAGATCCTGGCTGATTTCTATTTCAACTTGATTTTCCCACCTTTGCTCCATATCCCTCAATACCCTTGTGGTGTGGTGATAAGATTGCTGAAGGAGTCTGAATTGCTATGGTAACATACACACGAATATGCCGCAGCCTGGAACGATGGATAGTGGTGGTAGAGTCTCCAGCGTTCTTCTAGTCACACAGCTGACCAGGAATCTCTCCCAACTTTAGATTGCTACTGGCAGTGTTGGAAGATTTTGCCGATTGTGACTAAAAAGTTGAGTATCAATGTAAACTAACCCTAACCCTAACCCTTGGCCATTGAGTTCTGAGGCAGAACCTGAACCTAGATCTCCAAGCTTACAAAGGCTTATAACTTTCACAACCCCAGGATGTTACAAAGAGTTTGACAACCACTTTTGAAATGGAGTCATTGTAGAAAACACAGCACTCTCCCACAAGCAACAACGTGATAATGACCAGACAATCTGTCACTGTGTTGCTGACTAAGGGAACAAGTATTGACCAGGAAACCTGGTAACTGTTCTGCACTTTTTGGAAATACTGAGGACAAGAAGCCGCTGTCAGTCAGACCAACCTGTCTCAACAGCTGCTGACAGTAGTGCTATCCTTTGTATTATGCTTTTGGTGGTCTGCACCTAACCCTGCTTTTCCCATAGGCCTAGTTATTTATATAGTGCAATTTTCTCTAACACAATGTTGGACTGGAACACTATCGCGTTGTAGCAGAACGCCCCGTACTTTAGTGTAAAAACAATTGCAAAGTACTTTACAGAGAGGGGTAATAATAAACAATTGGCATTAATTAGACCTCTTAGAGAAACAATCAATGAGTGGTCAAATTGGACCTTATAACAGATAAACTTTGGGAGGTAAGACTATCAAAATAAATCAAATCCAAATGCAATAAATGGAGATTAGGGATTAAACTATGATAGAATGATGTATGGATACAGAGCTAAAAGCAATCTTGCTATCGGAAAGAATGAGGTTTTAAATTCAACTCTAGGTTGAACAAGAGACTATGATCGCAGAATACATGGTGCCACTTGAGTTAGCAGTCAAGGGAAAATAAAAGGGGGGAGAAAAAAAGGAAAAACATATGGTGACAGGGAGGATGCGCGAGGGAAATATCAAAAACATACAAATTAGGAGAAGTAAGTCATTCAGCAACCTTGAGCCTGTTCTGCCATTCAATAAGATCTAGTTGATCTGGTTATATGTGGAATTCCACATTCCCATCAACCCCCAATAACATTTTGATTCACATGTTTAATAAGAAGCTATCTACCTCCCCTTAAAATATATTCAATAACCCCATCTTCAATGCTTTCTGAGGCAGAGTATTCTATGTTTGCATAACTCTCTCAAAAGATTTAATATCTCGGTTCTAAAAAGGCAAACCCCAAGTTTTAAGCAGTGCCCTCAGCTTCTGGACTCATTCCTACATTCCCAAGAACAAATGCAGGAAAATTTGTGTCATCCAAACATCATAGAGGTAGTGCAACAGCATAGCACTGGTTGTGAAGTGGAATGAAGTTTTGAAGAGGTAATGGTGAATGTTATTATCAAGTAAAACCGAATGGACTGTAGCATTTTTCTCCAAGGAAGAGTAACCTGATGTAGGTTCTTAAGATTATAAAACGGCTTCAGGGCAGACATAGGAAAAGACATTTCCACTGGCAGGACCAGAACTAGGGATCATAAATAATAAACAATTAATAAGTTCAATAGGGAATTCCAGATAAACTTCATAAACTAAATAGTAAGAATGTGGAATGGACGAAGACAAGGACTCAGTCAGACAGTGAGCACAGATACGTTCAAGCAGAAGTTAGATAAATATATGAAAGAGAAGGATATGATGATGGGATGAGCTGAAGGGTGGAGAAGACTGATGTGAAGTTAAAACACAGCCATGGACCTTTTGAACTGGATGGCCCATTTCTGAGCTGAAAGTAGTTTGCAATAAAATTTCAACCATTTAATTTAAAATTCAAATAGCAGGTTAAGGAGCACCTGTGCAAACAGGACCATGTCAGACATTATGAGCACAATTTACAATCAGATTATGTTCTATAAAACTCCATTTAAAAAATTTTTGAAGTAAGTTGTGTTTTTCGCAAAAATAATTGTTCTTTTGGTCAGAGAATTAATCAGTTTCATTTATTAAAGATATTTACCGGATCAGCCAAGAAGTCCAAAGAGGGAAGAAACACTGACCCAGCCAGAATTTCTTGAATCAACAAGGCTAGAGATCTAGATATCAAACAGAGAGGGAATCAAATTGTATATCCTGCATTAGACTTATGGGCTAACAGATTCAAAGCCTGAAAAACACATGCTGTGGTACACAGAAATTTAGATAAAGTAAGCAGTTAAATAGAGAATTAAGTAGTAAGTTTTCTGATAATTAAGTGGGCCTCTGCTAAGTAGTAAACTCCTGAAGCTATATTTAAATAAACTAACCAACAGTGCAAGAGTGTTTCAAATTTCAGATTAAGTTAACAAATGATAGCTACAGAGTGTAATTGTGAGGTGCACAACTATGGATAGTGCATAAAAACCAAAAAGAACTGTGAATGCTGTAAATCAGGAACAAAAACAGAAGCTGCTGGCAGGTCTGACAGCATCTGCGAAGAGAAAATCAGCGTTAATGTTTCAGGTCCAGTGGCCCATCCTCAGAACGTGTCTGTGTCGATAGTACATGATTTATTACTGCACTACTGTACTTGAATTTCAAAATAATTAAGCAGCTTTCTTATAAGAATTTACATTTATACATGACATTTAATATGGAAAAGCATTCCAGTACCCCTCAGGTACTGTTCCCAAACAGAAAATGAATGCCAAACCAAAGAAGAAAATGAGGGACACGATCAAAAGCTTGGTGAAAAAGATGGATTTCAGGATAATCTGAACAGAAAATGAAAAACAAAAAAGAAAGCATTTTAGGGAAGGAATACAAGAGCCTTATAAATTGCAGCTCTACACGTAGATACATTATCACCAATGTGAATGGGTGGGTGGAGGGCATAAGACCATAAGAAATAGGAACAGATGTCTGCTCTGCCATTCAATGGGATCATGGCTGATCCGACATTCCTCACATCTACTTCCCTGCCTTTTCCCTCCCGTGAACCTTGATTTCTATACTGATAAAGAATTTACCTCAACCTTAAATACACACAAGGATTCTGCACACCCTCTTCCCTCACCCTACAGTTCTCTATGCTAAAGACCCAGAGAAGAAATTCATTATCTGTCTTAAATTGACATCCCTTTATTCTGAGATATGTCTTCTAGTCCTAGAATCTCCCATGTGAGCGAATGTCCTCTCAGCGTTTACTCTGCCAAGCTTCTCTGAATTGACTCCAATGAAATGGCATCTTTCCATAAATAAGGGGGCCAAAACTGCTCACGATACTGCAGATGTGGTCTCACCAGCAGTTTGTACAGTTGCAGTAAGGCATCCCTACTCTTAGCTTCCAAGCCCCTTGAAATAAGGCCCAACATTCCATTAGCCTTTTGGATTACCTGCTGTAACTGTGTGCTAGCTTTGTGTTTTTTGTGTGCAAGTCATTTCTAATTCCTTTGTGTTGCAGCTTTTTCTAGTTTTTCTCCACTTAAATAATACACTGTTCTTTTGTTCTCCAATCCAACATGAACTGTACATATTCTTGCATTATACTCCATTTGCCCACTTTTGTCCATTTAAAATGCTGGAATTAGAGGAAATGTGTGTGTTTTGGGAATTACGAGACAGGATGAAGTCATAGCAAAGCCCATGGACAGATTGGAACACAAATATGAAGGTTACATTTGAAATGTGGATACTGATGGGGTACTGTCAACACTTTTCCAGGATATGTACAATGTCCAAAGCTCAGGGAAATAGCATCTTAAAACTTCAGAATTTCAATTAAGTGTCAAAAAAAAGGATCACCCTAATTTAAATGTATGGTCAAAATTTAAAAGTTTAAAAAACAACTTTACAATATTGAAACATTGCAGAAAAATAACATCTAGTTTTATGGAAAAAGTCACTAGCAAATAATTTTGTTTGTAGGAAATTTTAGTGTTTAAAAAACTTGCCACTAAACATTCTTCCCATGCCAAAAACAATGCAAAAGAAAATGAGGTACAAGCATATTACCTGCACTCTGTGGCTTTCGGTGGTAGAATGTATGGGAACAGCAACTCAGTTAATTTCCTAAGATATTGGAGTTCATCTCTGCGGCTTCTCAGAGCCAGGTGCAGATCCGGCCCATACTCTTCCAATGCAGCTTGTTGTAAATATTCACTATGTTTTACTGAAATGGAAAGAAACATGCAAAATTACTCATTCAAATACACCAGTGAATAATCTATGACTCCAATTCTGAAACTGCAGCTGGTAGAACATGTGTGGACAAAAATTTAGGATATTTGCACACAGAGAATCTGTTCTGGAAATGAAAACCAAATAACTTTTGTTGGTCAGGGGTTGCTCACACATTAAAAACAGCAACCTGAGAACTGAGGTTACCTACGACCCAAACACTAACTTGGGCTGGCTCAAATCAGATTAATTCTGAGGGATGACATAAGGTGTAAATCCTTATTTAGTGGAAGAGTAATGAAGTAATGCTACTGGTGTCCTTGGGTCAGAGCCAATCACGAAAAGACAAGGCAGATATGACAGAACCAATGAAGAATAAGACACCAGAGTTCAGGAAGAGAAGGAAAAAAGTATGAAAATGAAGGATTTCGGGCATGCCAGCAGTGAAAACTCTGGACATCAACCTTTGCGAAGTTCAGGACCTCATGCTTGGAAGCTTCGAGATAACACCGAGGACTTGGGAAATTACCTGGCCAGCAGGAGTTCCTTTTCTCGGGTATTAGCCTTTAGATCCTTTGACTGTTTAGGGAATGTCATAGAAACCAAGTGGGTGCGTGCATAGATTTTAGCCTTGTATGAATTTCATGCCTGTTAACATTTTCTTAACCAAACAGTATGAATTATATGTTTGTTTGAATTAAACGAATAAAGTTAGTTAGTCGATACAAATTTGACTCTTCCTCTTTGTGCTGAGCCAATAACTGTTGTTGAGGGCAGTAACCGGGCCACATAATTGGGGGCCTAGGTGGCCGATCGACAAGAAGCAGTTTCACTGCTCCAGTGTTGGACCCAAGTTAAAATGTGCTCAGGTTAACTGTTGTCTCAGACAGGGACAGTTGGTGGACTCCACGATAAATTTTACTGTTGAGTCAGCAGGAGACTCAAGTTGGATCTGATTGGCAAAGCACAGAGAACTAGAGTCTGAGGTTAAGCACGTTACTTCATCTCAGACAGGGACAGTTGGGGAGCGGGGGAGAAGAGTAAGCTCGACAACCATTGAGTCAGCGGGAAACTCGAGTAGGACTTAACCCAGCAAAAGGAACCTCCAGGTCCCAGGAACATGGATTGTTTTGATTGGAAGGTATGAAATGGGGAAGTGGCCACATACGGGGACAGTACGTTGATCATGCCAGTGGACAGGGAGCAACCGCTGGGCAAATCCTTTGGAAGACTGCTACATCTTAAAAAATTGCAGAAGGCTGTATCAGCCAACCTCCTGGAAGACTTGGTAGAAAGCCAGCAGGAGAAGCTGGAGTTTTGAGCCGAGGTAGATGACCTTTGAAAGGAGATAAATAGGCTTAAAGAGAAAACTGAATTATTTTTCAATGAGAGATACAATCCAAGAAATTAGAGAGAAAAACAAATCTGGAGGCATTTAAAACAAGATCATGAGGAGAAAGAGGCATTGAAAAAGCAATGCAATGATTGAAGACTGCTATGAATGAAGTATATAAAATAGATCAGGAGAAGAAAAGTAACACTGGAAATTGTACAAAGTGTCAAAACAGATAGAAAAGCTACAAGAAAAGCTAGCTTGCCACACGAGAGGGGAAAAATGTGCGCTTCTGGACTAGAAATAGGGAGGGAAAGTAGTGATGGAAATGTAGATTGGGGAGGTTTAGCAGACATGTCAGCTGCTATGTACAGTGAGGAACAGTCCATCGCTGAAATACCAGTGGATCAATACAAGTAACGACTTTTCAGTGGGAGAAGTGTGAATAAACCCTATAGATATGAGCCGGGATCCAGGAGTCCAAGCTGTACAGAGAACAAAAACGTTTTGCCAAAGCAAGCACAATTGTGGGAGGATGCAGGGGGAAGTCTGCATCCAAGGACTAGGCCCGAAACTACAGGGAGGAATACAGGGTTAAAGAGGGGTTATAAGTACCACCGTGTCAACAGATAATTTAAATTTACCAGAGGACACCCATGAATGTCATGTGATGATAGTAAATGATCCCATAAGGGACCATTTGTATCAAATCCAAATAGAGGAAGTACCAGTTAAAAGAAAACAGAAAACGAAAAAAGTCACCCTTAAAATTTAAAAAGCACCACCAAGGAACAGGCTATCCTACCACAAGACAAAATTGGACAGGAAGAATTGGACAGGAAGAAATGGACAGTTAAGAGTCCGAAGAAAATTAAGGGAGGGACTTGAATGATCTTGTGAAAAACTGGGGAATTTATACTTAAAATAACGTTGCCACAGCTAAGAATTGTAGAGGTAAACTCCCTGTATGGATGTTTGCCTTGGAATATAAGCTGCTGTGTGCTCTATCCCACAATTTGTAAATATAGAGAGCGAGACCGGCTTTTACGTTTGACTGAGGTAATAACTCTTTCCTGTCTGGATGCAAACGAGAGTGTTCATAGTCCCCCAACTAAGCATCAACTTTTTATCGTTTGTATGCATATTCAGTGTTGTGTTTGGATTGAGGGAAGAGTCCTGGTTAAATTTTAATTTCAGCAACTTTATGTTTAAATTATCATTTTGGAATTTCATTTTCTGGCCAGAGTGAACATCCAAATATCGTATTAATACGAGTGAATGCTTAATTCCAGATAAGATTTGCTCACTTTGGTGTAAAAGTATCCAAGTTATAGAGAAATTGGAACGTTGGAGATGCAATTCTCTTTGAACAAAATTATCTGTTGATATGTTCTAAAATCTGACAAAATTGATACCAAGGGTTTTTTTAAGGAAGAGGAGACTGGCTTTTCCTTTGTTAATTATAACACACTTATTTCTGTACAGGAGGAAGAAAGGCTGTTGACATTATATCCAGAATTTTTCACCCACCCCTTTCAACCAGCAATAAGCCATCACTAAATAATCTAAACTGCTTGATGTGGAATGGATGAATACTGTTTGCTTTCCTGATAATTGAAGACACAGAAGGCTTTTGCCAATGGCTTTGAACTTTTGAAGCTGTCTGTCGATTTTCAACATCTGAGACACGGATGAGGAAACCTCAACCAATGAAGCCAATGAATAGTTACTTTAAAATTTTAAAATGACTCTGGAAAATGACAGAATGCAAGCAAAACGTCTGTGGCTTCAATGCATAAAAATTGTGACTTTGAGGGAGGTAACAAAGTACTGAATTTGGACAAATTTACCTGGAGCTATATCAAAACTCATTCTAGAAATTATCAAGTAACTTTTTTAAAAAAGTGGTAATCTGAGAAAGAATGAACAAAGTATGTGTTTGCCTGAATCAAACAGAAATGTTTGACTTCTGTTTTAAGATATCATTAAATTATGTTTCATTGGACTACAAATCTCTCCAGAGCACTGGAATGAGATAGGATGATAACAGCTGAATTGCAAATTTGGACGAGAAGAAATAATTAAGTTGTGGCAGAAGACAAAAGAAATTAGAATAATGGTTTCCAACAGCAATGGAGGTTAAAGCATATTTTAGTGAAAGGGAAATTTAGATGCAAGCATTAAACTGATAGCTTTCTTTTGCCGAGGTTTGTGTCCTTGTCTTTCCATTTAAGAGAACTAAATTTGATGACATAGTTCCAATGCCTTGGGTATGGTTCTAAGGGCAGAGATAAGTCAAACCTCAGACCTTTGATAAGATCACACAGGAGTCAAGAATGCATGACATGATCCTGGGATACCAATCTAAACGTATAAAAGTGATTGTTACTTCGAAGGTAACAAACATGAGGGAATGCATGGTTAGAAAAAAAAAATGCACTGAAGAATGGGTCTCAGACATGTATACTTTGACAAAAGGATCTGTGGGGCCTGGAAGAGCACAAAAACATAGTTTAAACGATAACACAAACGTAATCCACAGAGAAACTGACTTTAAACAAATGAAAGTAGTATTTATGAAAGGGAGGTAAAAAGAAAATCAAAATAAAAAAAAGGTGCGATTGGTATGTCAATATGTTACAGAAATAAAAGAATGTGGACTCTGGGAGGAATGATAGTGAGCTGACTGGAAGGGCCCATCAGATGATGTACAGATACCCCAAAACAGCAGGGAGCAGGGGGGAGGGAGAGACAGACAGACAGACAGACAGAGAAACATAAGCAAAAGTAAAAGCCTGATGAACGCATTGCAATTTGTTATAGCTATATTGTTTGATACCATGTACATTGCAGCCCAGAGGGGGTGCTTGCATATGGAAGTAGTTACCACTCAATGCTAAAATTATTCATAAAATTGGCAACGAAGGAAATATATTGAAGAAGCATCCTCAAGATAGATACAGATAAGGGAGCTGGGGAAATTCTGAATCCATGTATAATGTTATTTTACTGTTACTAAATAATGTGATATGCAGATAGAGAACTGGAGGATATGAAAAACAACAAATTAAGGAGTATGAATCTGAATTTATAATATTCAGAGATTATGACAATTTGAGCAGATCATTACACTCCAAGTCGTCGTTGGACCGGACCAAGTTTAATCAAAGGGTGATTAACGTGATGCTGTATTTGGCACTGACACATAGCTACAACCACCCAAAGCTCTGGCTGGCAAGCTGCCTCCAGGACGGCCAAGTTAACTGAGGAGCATCCATGACCTACACAGGGGGCTGGGAAGACCTCTGGTTTGGCTCCTAGTATAGAAAGTCTCAGACCCAAAGGTTAAGCTGATGCAGGTGTGCAGCATGCTGATGCTGTGGTGATGTGAGCACAAACGGTTTTGGTTCAACACAGCAAGCAAGGATCAGACCACGGGTGTAGTGTTTAGTTGTCCTTTTTTGGAGTTGTAGATTCTGGAAACTTGCCCACTCACTATGCCAACAAATAATGGCCATTAAAAATTAATACTTGGAGCTCAGGAGTTTGATGATTAGTTAATCAACTTGCCCATTCAATATAGTAAATATGGATGCAAATGGAGAGGGCTCTTGTGGTTGTGTCACAGGGATAGCAAGCCGAACCAAATTAGCCTCACTGTCGCTGGACTCGCAACATTCAGCGACCCTCGTAATTGCCCAATTATTCCTCACCTAACTTTAAGGATAAATATCTTGGACAAGAACTGACACCATTATTAATCATGTAACTTTTGTAGAACACAAGCAAGGTAAACAAGCCCAATCTCCTTTTGATCATACCCCCTCCACACTGTCATGCAGACAAACGCAGTAAAGTGGATGAATTAAAAAGAAAATAAGAGTTGTAAGTTGTCAGTTCAATGAACAGTTTCTAGGCCTTCGTGAAATCCTTAGACGATGGATTGCTCACAAGAAAGTAGAACTGTATATCTTGAAATCTGAAGTCACTGGTTAATGCAATAGCTTCAGCATTTATTGTTCATAGACTGGGATTCCTTTCTTACAACATTTAACAATTCGATAACTGGACAGAAGCTAGAGAGATAGCAACACAAGGCAGCAGAGTCTCCAGAAGTATACAAAGATCACACTGTCTCCTACCAAAACCCAGTCAGAACCATTTTCTTTCTCTTTTCAATCAACATTGCCTTACTGGCTAGCACCAGACCTACCTTGGTTGACTAATTCAATATCCATCCCTGTGCATAGCAGCATATCTGCGCTGAATTGTCTCATGTGTTGTTAGGGGTGTGCGAATCCCCAGAATGAATGGTAACATATGACTGTAATTAAAGGAATAGATGAAACAAGAATCCCAAAAGGAGGAGATAAATCTAATCATCACAATCTGCACTGGAACAAGTGACAGGTAGAAACAGAGAGGAGGTTCTGATGATAGAATTTCATGAGTTAAGCTCTAAATTTAAATCGAACATTGACAATAATACTCCCAAACATTACCTGAACACATGCAAATTAACATAGGTGCAGACAGAAAGAAGGGCTCCTTTTTAAATGGGACATTTTTCCCCCAGTCTTACAGGAAATATAAGCAGCCTGAATGCAAACAGAACAGGGAAGGTGGGAAAGAGGAAATAAAGTAAGGAAGACATTGATGACCAGGAATTAAAAGGAGTTGCAGAACAGCAGCCAAAAATGACAGTTAAACAATATGACAGGATATCCTATTAGCAATGAATTAAAATGTTTGTTCAGCAAGTGTCCATAGCAAAAAAAAAGCTAGAGGAACCAGTTAAAACAAGAATTTCTGAGACATGACAACAGAAAATTAGGACTAAAACTTAAACACTGTGGGCTAAGGCATATTTATAAACAATTGGGGAGGAAGTGGTAGAAGCAGAGGTGGAGTAGCTGCATTTGGAAATAACAAATGGCGCTGGAGAAAGAGAATGCAGCTATCAGCAAAACAAAAATCAAATCCAGGAAAAGGTAAACATAACAAAGGATCCATCATACCAATAGGTTTAGATTACATACCACCTAATGGGCACAGAGGTGGAGGAAGAAGTTTGCAGGTAAAATTTTAAAAACTGAGTGGCATAAAAGATGGAAATCATGGAGGATTTCAACTACCCTGATAGAGTCACAACATGGAAACAGACCCTTCAGATAGGCCAACAAGAGGCGAGGCCACATTGGATTTGGTACTGGGTAATGAACCAGGCCAGGTGTTAGATTTGGAGGTAGGAGAGCACTTTGGTGATAGTGACCACAATTCGGTTACGTTTACTTTAGCGATGGAAAGGGATCGGTATATAAAGCAGGGCAAGAGTTATAGCTGGGGGAAAAGGCAATTATGAGGCGATGAGGCAAGATTTAGGATGCATAGGATGGAGAAGGAAACTGCAGGGGCTGGGCACAATTGAAATGTGGAGCTTGTTCAAGGAACAGCAACTGTGTGTCCTTGAGAAGTATGTACCTGTCAGGCAGGGAGGAAGTGGTCGAGCGAGGGAACCGTGGTTTACTAAAGAAGTTGAATCTCTTGTCAAGAGGAAGAAGGAGGCTTATGTAGAGATGAGGTGTGAAGGCTCAGTGAGGGCGCTTGAGAGTTACAAGTTAGCCAGGAAGGACCTAAAGAGAGAGCTAAGAAGAGCCAGGAGGGGACATGAGAAGTCTTTAGCAAGTAGGATCAAGGAAAACCCTAAAGCTTTCTATAGGTATGTCAGGAATAAAAGAATGACTAGAGTAAGATTGGGGCCGGTCAAGGACAGTAGTGGGAAGTTGTGCGTGGAGTCCGAAGAGATAGGAGAGGTGCTAAATGAATATTTTTCGTCAGTATTCACGCAGGAAAAAGACAAAGACAAAGACAATGTAGTCGAGGAGAATACTGAGATACAGTCTATTAGACTAGACGGGATTGAGGTTCATAAGGAGGAGGTGTTAGCAATTCTGGAAGGTGTGAAAATAGATAAGTCCCCTGGGCCGGATGGGATTTATCCTAGGATTCTCTGGGAAGCTAGAGAGGAGATTGCAGAGCCTTTGGCTTTGATCTTTATGTCGTCATTGTCTTCAGGAATAGTGCCAGAAGACTGGAGACTAGCAAATGTTGTCCCCTTGTTCAAGAAGGGGAGTAGAGACAACCCTGGTAATTATAGACCAGTGAGCCTTACTTCGGTTGTGGGTAAAGTGTTGGAAAGGATTATAAGAGATAGGATTTATAATCATCTAGAAAGGAATAATTTGATTAGGGATAGTCAACACGGTTTTGTGAAGGGTAGGTCGTGCCTCACAAACCTTATTGAGTTCTTTGAGAAGGTGACCAAACAGGTGGATGAGGGTAAAGCGGTTGATGTGGTGCATTTGGATTTCAGTAAAGCGTTTGATAAGGTTCCCCATGGTAGGCTATTGCAGAAAATACGGAGGCATGGGATTGAGGGTGATTTAGCGGTTTGGATCAGAAATTGGCTAGCTGTAAGAAGACAGAGGGTGGTGGTTGATGGGAAATGTTCATCCTGGAGTTCAGTTACTAGTGGTGTACCTCAAGGATCTGTTTTGGGGCCACTGCTGTTTGTCATTTTTATAAATGATCTGGATGAGGGCGTAGAAGGATGGGTTAGTAAATTTGCGGATGACACCAAAGTCGGTGGAGTTGTGGATAGTGCGGAAGGATGTTGCAGGTTACAGAGGGACGTAGATAAGCTGCAGAGCTGGGCTGAGAGGTGGCAAATGGAGTTTAATGCGGAAAAGTGTGAGGTGATTCACTTTGGAAGGAGTAACAGGAATACAGAGTACTGGGCTAATGGTAAGATTCTTGGTAGTGTGGATGAGCAGAAAGATCTCGGTGTCCATGTGCATAGATCACAGAAAGTTGCCACCCAAGTTGATAGCGTTGTTAAGAAGGCATACAGTATGTTAGGTTTTATTGGTAGAGGGATTGAGTTTCAGAGCCATGAGGTTATGTTGCAGCTGTACAAAACTCTGGTGCGGCCGCACTTGGAGTATTGCGTACAGTTCTGGTCACCGCATTATAGGAAGGGTTTGGAAGCATCGGAAAGGGTGCAGAGGAGATTTACCAGGATGTTGCCTGGTATGGAGGGAAGGTCTTATGAGGAAAGGCTGAGGGTTTTGAGGCTGTTTTCGTTAGAGAGAAGAAGGTTAAGAGGTGACTTGATAGAGACATACAAGATGATCAGAGGATTAGATAGGGTGGACAGTGGGAGCCTTTTTCCTCGGATGGTGATGGCTAGCACGAGGGGACATAGCTTTAAATTGAGGGGTGATAGATATAGGACAGATGTCAGAGGTAGGTTCTTTACTCAGAGAGTAGTAAGGGCGTGGAATGCCCTGCCTGCAAAAATAGTAGACTCGCCCACTTTAAGGGCATTTAAATGGTCATTGGATAAACATATGGATGATAATGGAATAGTTTAGGTTGGATGGGCTTCAGATTGTTGTGCCGACCTGTGAAACCATCGAGGGCCGAAGGGCCTGTACTGCGCTGTAATGTTCTATGTTCTATGTTCAGCCCAACTTGTTCATGTTGACCAGGTTTCCTAAACTGAACAAGTTCCATTTGCCTGCATATGCCGATATCCATCTAAACTTTTCCTATTCATGTATCCATGCAGATGTCTTTTAAATGTTGTAGTTGTACTTGCCTCTGCCACTTCCTCTGGCAGCTCATTCTCAATACGCACTACTCTCTGTGGTGCCTCTCAGGTCCCTTTTAAATCTTTTCCTTCTCACCATAATCCTATGCCCTCTAGTTTTGGACTCCCCCACCCTGAGGAAGACGCCTTGGCTATTCACCTTTACCATACCCCTCACTATTTTATAAACTTCTGTAAGATCACCCCTCAGCTTCCTACACTCTGGAAAAAAATTCCCAGCCTATCCAGCCTCTCCTTATAACTCAAACCTTTCAGTCTAGGTAACATCCTTGTAATATTCATGCACCTTTTCCAGTTTAATACCATGCCTCCTATAGCATGGCACCTAGAAATGTATGTGGTACTCCAAATGGAGCCCTACCAATTACTTGTACAGTGTAACATGACATCCCAACTCCTATACTCAGTGCTCTGACCAATGAAGGCAAGTGTACCAAATGCCTTCTTCAACACCACATTTGTGACACCATTTTCACCACTAGATCTCTGTTTGATAACACTCCCTAGGGCCCTACCATTAACTGTACGAGTCCTGCTCTGGTTTGTCTTACCAAAATGCAAGACCTCACATTTGTCTAAATTAAACTCTATGTGCTACTCCTCGGCCTACTGGCCCAGTTGCTCAAGATCCCATTGTATCATAGAATCCCCACAGTGTGGAAACAGGGCATTCGGCCCAACAAGTCCACACCCAGACCCATTCCCCTAATTTCCCATATCTAACCCACCTAACCTAAACATCTCTGGGCACTATGGGCAAGTTAGCATGGCCAATCCACCTATCCTGCACATCTTTGGACTGTGGGAGGAAACCGGAGCACCCGGAGGAAATCCACGCAAACACGGGGAGAATGTGCAAACTCCACAAAGACAGTCGCCCGGGGCTGGAATCAAACCTGGGTCCCTGGCGTTGAGGGGCAGCAATGCTAACCACTGAGCCACCGTGTACTCTTAAATGACTTTCTTCACTGTTCACCATACTATCAATTTTGGTGTCACCTGCAAACTTACTAACCATGCCCATAATCTCATCCAAATCATTTATATAAATGACGAACAACAGTGGACCCAGCACCAATTATTGCAGCACATCACTGGTGACAAGTCTCTAGTCTGACAAACAACCCTCTACTACCACCTCCCAACTCCTACCATCAAGCCAATTTCATATCCAATTGGCCAGCTCTCCCTGGGTCCCTTGTGATCTAGCCTCACAAACAAGTCTACCATGCCAATCCTTGTCAAAGGCCTTGCGAAAGTCCATGAGGACAATTTCTACTGCTCTGCCTTCATCTATCTTCTTGGTCACCTCTTCAAATAATTCAATCAAGCTTGAGACACACAAAATTTCCATGCACAAAGCTATGCTGATTATTGTCAATCAGTCCTTGTCTTTCCAAATGCATGTAGATTCTGTGTCCCAGAGTACAGTCCCACAACCCACCATTGGCATCAGGCTCACTGGTCAATAGTTCCCTGGCTTTTCCTTACAGCGTTTCTTAAATAATGGCACAACATTAGCCACCCTCCAGTCTTCCGGCACCTCACCTATGGCTTCAATGACAAATATCTTTTGCTAGGGGCCTCAGTTTCACTCTAGCTTCCCACGATGTCCTGAGATACACTTAATTCGTAGATAAATCCCCAGGACC